GATATAGAATAGAGAGATAGAGAGAGATAGAGATATACTGATGGATGGATATAGAGATAGAGATAGAGATGGATAGAGATAGAATAGATAGAGATAGAGGCACAGGTAGAGATAGAAATAGATAGAGATAGATAGAGATAGATAGAGATAGTTAGAGATAGTTAGATATAGATAGAGAACGATTGAGATAGATAGAGATAGATAGATACAGATAGAGATAGATAGAGATAGATATAGATAGATTTAGATAAAGATAGATATAGATACATATATATAATTATATATATATATAGATATAGATAGGTAGATAGATAAATGTAGATAGCTTAGATAGATTTAGATAAAGATAGATATATACTGATATAGGTAAAAACAGATAGATATAGATAGATATCGATAGATCTAGATAGATATAGATAGATTTATTTCTCCGAAAAATGGAAAAAGTAACCCCCAAAAAGACACAAAAGTTCGTAAAATCCTTTTTTAAAAAGTGATTGCTTACCTTTTTTTTTCCAGCGCACATCAGCGCGGGTGACTCGGCTCAGCAGGTGTGAGCCACGCAGCTACGGCGAGGCGTGAAACGAAAGCGGGAGGCGGCTTGCACCATCCATCGGAACCTCGTCAAGGAGGCGGGCCATGCCTGGTGCGCTTGCGTGGGGGAGCGGTGGAGAGATCCACTCAACCCCGAGTGCTGTGGCGCACACAGCCTTTTGGAGGGCAATACTGAGAAAGCCCCCCCACCGCCGCTGCCAACCCTGTGCCGCTGCCTGCCGGAGTGGCGGCGGCGCGCGTGGGCTGCGGACAGCGACCAGCAGGCGCACAAGTTGCAGGCATTCCGAATGCCACCGCCCGCCGACCTCCGCGCCAAGTACCAAAAGGCGCTGGGGGCCCCCGCCAAGCAGCTCTGGATAGCGGCGGTGTTTGCGTGCTCGGGCGGCAAGCAGGGCTGCCCCATCGTGAGTTGCAGCTTGGCGGGTGGGCTGGCCACTGCGGGTGAGCGGGGAAACTAGCGTAACGTCGCACGCCAACGCTTCCCCACGCGGGGTTGCGCCATGGATCAGAAGGTCAAGCCGCCGACGGTCGTCCACTGCGGTCGCCAAGTTGGTGTGAGCGAGCCAAGGCTGTGGGACCACCCGGCCCTCAGAGCCGACTGCCTCACGGGCAACACGGATCCATGCGTGTTCTAGCACGTGGGCCCGGCGTGCGAGGAGACCGCTGCGTGGGCATGCCAGCGCGTGATCGCCCAGTGGATCCAGCGCGCCGCCGCACCCATGGCGGCCGGCACCCTGCCCGCAACGCTGGGCCGCGGGCGGCAAAGGCAGGCGTAAACGGCGCCGGAGGGCAATGTGCATGAGGTTGGGCGTTAAGGTAGCGCCTTCCTCGCTTGGGATGGCGGTGAGCCACGCGCCGGCGTGAGGCCCAGCTTGGGGTCTGAGCAGCGCTTGGCCAGCGGGCGGGAGGCGGGGCAAAACTTCGCGCGCTCGGAAAGAAGTGTGCACAACGAGCGACGCGAGGTGTTGCCAGCCATGCGCGGGGATGCCAGGCTCTCGTTCCCGAAGGTTAGGAACTTCCGACGCATTGGCCGCGAGGACAGCCCAACCCGGGCGCGACTGCCAGCCAAACCGGTCGAGGTCGGATGCTGAAGCGGCCGCTTCACGGAGGCATGCCGCAGCCGATTCCGGGCCGAGGGTAAGTTCGGCGGCGCAGCGAGCAGCAAGGATCGGCTGTCGCAGGGCCAGCACAGGGAGGGCATCGGCCCATGCCGCCCAATACGCAGCTGGAGCGATCCGTTCAGCCGCGAACAGGCCGAGGCCGCCTAGTCGGATGGGGAGGAAGCCTACGTCGTGAGCGGTGGCCGGGAGGGGGTCGGGCTCACCGAGCAGAAAAGACAAGCAGCTCCACACGGCACTATCGTGCTGGCGCGCATACTCTCCAGATTGAGAGGGCGGCAATGTGCGGAGAAGGTGGCCAGCGCGCGGCGCCGCCGTGTAGAGAAGAAGGAGCCACGCAGCCTGTAAGTCCGGGAGCTGCTGGATCTCGGCTAGGAGGCTGGTTTCTTGTTCAAGTCGGCCGTGCGCATGGGCGGCAACGAAATCCGCGCTACCTATTGGCGCGCCTAAGGCGACCAGGCCACACTCTGGGCTGTCACCACCGCGCCACACATCAGGGCCGAGCGTTTCAACGCCAGGCGGCGCTGGGCCTCCAGCGCGGGTGAAGACACGAGTTTTGCCTGAGTTGGCGGCGACCCCGGCATGGCCTTCGATGGCCCGGCTGACGATGTCAAATGCCGGCCGTGCCCGGTCAGGCTGGCAGATGATGTAAACGTCATCGAGATAGGCGCCCAAGACTTCGTCAGGCAGGAGCTGGGCAGCAGCAACTTCGAGGGCATGGTGCTGTCCAAGCGCGTACAGCGCGGGGGCTAAGGGGTCGCCCTGCTCAACCCCCTCGCCCTGAGTGATGACATGGTGCGCGCCTTGATCGTCCCACCAATGGAAGATGGAAGGTGTGCCATAAATGGCCCGGACAAATGGGACCAAGGCCGGCGCCGTGGTGTGAAGGGCGGTGAAGATGGCGCTGCGCGACACGCAATCATACGCCGAGCGGCCATCGAGGGAGACGACCGCTGTCCGGGGGTCAAGATCAACTGCAGCACGGAGCAACCCAGCCAAAGCATCGATCCCCGCGCGTGTTTGGAGCGCGAATTGGTAGGGGCGCGTGGCAACATCAAAGGTTGCTGCAAACTTGCGCGCCAAGATGCGGGATGTCAATCGGCGCAGCGAATCGCCCGTGGCTATCCCGCGGGCCCCGCCACCTGGCTTGGCTAAGGCCGTGAGACGAGACTGGGAAATCGCTGGGAGGACTTCCGGCGGCACGTGGGCATTCGCCAATTGCGTGAGTGCCCCCGTGAAGACGACGAGTGTGAGGGTTTCGCCATCGTCGAGGAGCAGTTTGAAATGCTCGGCGGTTGCGCCGCTAAGGCCAGGTACCGCGCTGCGCTTTGCTGTGCGCAACGCGTCGACCACTTCCTGCTCAGAGAGGTGCAGCGCCGCATCCGGGCAGTAATTACTGATGTGGTCAGGGATGGGACGAAGCAAGGCTGGAGGACGCCGGGCGGGATCTACTAAGGACTCCAGAGTGGCCGCTGTGCCGGGCGCGAGCGGAGAGGCCGTGAGGGTGGCCCGTGCCCGGGAAAGATCCCCTTGAGCAACCTGGCGGCAAGCACGCGCTCGGCGCAGTGTAGCTTCTTCCTCAGCGGTGCGCGCGGCGCGAGCACGTGGGCCAGGGCTTGGTTGGTGCGCGTGCGCAGGCGCAAGCATTGAAGGCCAAGAGCCGGCCAGGAAATCATCGGCCCGCTGCAGCAAGGCTCGCCGACCAACTGTGGCGCCGGCAGGGTGGTAGAACAGCAGGCGCGAGGCGAGCAGGAAGAGGGCCCACCCCCGTCGCCTTTGAAGGGGTGTGGCCGCGTCAGCGGCTAGAAGCTGTAAAGGGAAGAGTAGCGCTCGTCGAGCGGCCGCAGCATAGAACCGAGGAGGACTGCGGATGGTGCGAACTGGGGTGGCTAGCTCGGAAGCAAGGTCCAAGCGATCAAGCCAGTCCCAGGAAGCAGCTGGCACGCGCTGAATAGACGGTGCAGAAGGAGCGGGAGCAAGGGGGCGAGCCGCCAGGGCATCGGAACGCGAGTCCCTGCTGGAGTCTAACACCGCCACCGGCGGGACAGAGGCTCGCGGGGGCAGAGCAAGTACATCGGTCGCTGGCGGCGGAGGCTCGGACTCGGAGGATGAGGCAGGGATGGGGATGGCGCTCTCCGTTGTGACGGCCATGCCCGTTGCAGGCGCCGCGACCGCGGGCGAGACGCTGCTACGAGGGTGGGCCCGTCGACGGCGCCGGAGTGCACCGTGACGTGTGTCTGCGGCGTCCTCTGGCCGGAAAGCGTTGGAACGCTCATTGACGGCAGCAGCGAGGCGAAGGCCGCCGTATGTTTGAAGCAGCACTTCCTGCGCGGCGGCGGGTAGGTAACCGGATATGTCCGCCAGAGCTCGGCAGGCCCAGCCCAGATGAAACCGTGCATCAGCTGGAGTGTTGGCCGCGGAGTGTGCTAAGCGCGCAGCAGAGGACGCGCCATCAGGGGAGTGGTCCAGGAGCGCCGAACGCAAGGTGTCAGCCGTGACGGGCGCTGCGGCTGCCAAAGCGTGACTGGTGGAATCCCACCATGGGGCCGCGCGGCTATCACGCCGCCATGCCTCCAGGGCGTCAGCGTGCAGATCCCCGGCCGCTGCATGGAGAAGAGGAACGTAAAGCCAAGAGTTGGCGGGCACAAGCACTGGCGCAGCCGGAGGGCCCCGCGTATGCCACAGGCCACCGGGAGCTGGAGTGGCCGAGGCCCGCGGCATGGCAGGCGTTGGCGCCGGATCGAGCGGCCGGGACGGTATTGGCGCGTCGGCGTCAGAGTCGAGGAACGGGTTGACCGCCAACGCTGCACAGGCATCCACAAGTTCAGGGTCAGTGCCAGCGGGCCAGGGCGCACGGCAGAGGGAACAGCACGGCATTGCCAGCCGTGCGCGCGTGCGTGCGAGGCACGGAAAGTGATAGGGATGCTGGCATCCTGGCCAAAAAGCGATCCTGCGACGGGTTGAGTCGCTGGAGTGAATTGGGTCCAAGCAAGTTGGGCAAATGGGTGGATCGCTGGGAACCGGGGCTGGCAATGGGCAAGTTGGCGCGTCCGATGGTGGGCCGGGGTGAGCTGCCTCCCCGACGCGGCGGCCGCGGAGAGGCCAACCTGACCATCGGGAGCATGGGAAGCGCCACCGGCAACGGCGCAGCAAGGGGCGGCCAAAGTGCCGTCGCCACCGCCTGGTGGTAAGGAAGCGGAGTACGGTGGACCCTAGTGGTGGGAAGCGGTGCCACGGCTCAGGCGACGGCAACAGGAACGGCGCCAAGGAAAAGAGGACAGTGGCTCTACGTTGGCGCTTGCGCCACTGCCCCCGGCATGTGTGCAAAGGACTGCGCTGGTAGCATGGGCACGTGGAGCCGCAGGAGCGGCGCCGATGGGAGGGGCGCCAACCTGGGCATGCCCATTGTGCATTGAGTTGCTGGGTCAGCAAGCGGCGCGCGTGGCGGCCGAGGGATGGCAGGGATGCGCCGCGGCCCGGGAGCGAAACGCTCAGGCGCGGCGGGTTGAGAAGGCAAGGCCGGGAGCTCCAACAAGAAGGAGCTCTGCCGACAGAGGCTGCCAGCGACGCCGCGAAGCAGAGGAGACGAAAGGCGCAGGGGCGCTGGAGGAGCACAGAAGCGGCTGCCATGTTCAAAGAGGCGCCGGCTCCTCTTCTGCGGCGCCCGGAAGGGCGCGCGCAGGGACCATGCGTCCAGGGGGAAATGCAGGAGTAAAGGCCCCCCCTTGAGCCAAAAACTTGAGCCAAAATGGCTTGAGCCAAAATGGCTTACTTGTCTCCATGTGTTTTATTCTCCTGGGGGTTGCTGCATACCATGATATAATATACCACCAAAATGGCCATTATTGGCCATTGATGTCGGGAAAATGGTGACTCACCATCAAACTTGGGGTAGAAGTACAGTACCCAATTTTCAGACACACCCACACGAATGCAACATGCTGAAACTCATTTTAATATGGTGCAGTCAACCTAACTCAGACTAGGGAATTTCATGCAGTTTGACTGATTCTTGGCCCATCGGTTATGTGTTTGAGCCATGACTCCAAAGGCTTGTGGTTCGCATACGCGCCTGGGCATGTGGATCCTCATGCTCTTGAGGATGCCACCGTTGAATGCTGAAGCCTCCGCAGCATGGCGTTTTTTGCCACAGCAAAAAGGTGCCCCAGCACCTCACACGACCCCCACCTGCATGGCCCACCAGGTCCTTCCAATCCTTGGGTGCCAGTGCATCATGTGGCATCTGGTATCACCTGTCGAATCTGGACTAACCCGGTAAACCAGGGCCCAAGAGATACTACTTTCATATACCTTCTGGTTATTTAACATAGCCATGGAAAGATCCGCCATTTTACAGCTGGGTAAATCCACTATTTCTATGGGCCATTTTCAATAGCTTTTTGTTAAATTACCAAAGGCTGTTTTCATAGGAGAAGTGATGAGTCGGGAAACTCCACACCAGTGGCTGAGCCCGGAGCTCGCTTGGCCGCCACTTCTCGTTCGACGCAATGGACGTCCGAACCTCGTTGGACCAGTACGCAGAATCTGACCACTGATCATGCCACTGATCCACCAAATAATCCAAATACCTAAGTTGAACTAGTTGGGATTAATGAAGATATGATTATCATCTGATGATATATAGCTAATATAGTTCTATAACCCAGAGATTGCTTGATATGCTGAGACCCCGAGCGACCAAAGGCCTGGCACAGTGTCGCAAAACTGCCTCAGGAACCTTATGGATCCTTATGGCATGTCGTGGCTGAATCAAAACCATGTTGTTTCTATCATCTGGTTGGGAAATCTTACACTTACTTACGAGTTATATTAGATAAAATATAGTATATATAGTAGCTTCCTGGCTCCACATGTTACATTGATTATGGATACCCATGACTGCGAACAGCTCCCTCCTAGCGACCAGGATGTGGCGTCCACTGAGGCGTACACCTTCATGAAACACTACACTGTTGGAACAGAAAAATCCTTCTTGAGTACACAGTATACGCTTAATGTGAACAAATGAATCCTTGTTCTGGATATCTCTGATTGGTGGTACCTTAGTGCTGGGACAGCCGAACCTAACGAAGCATTGCGAGCATCACGCGGTTGTTTTCCTCTCAGCGGGCGCTTGAGCCACAATGGGCGTCCATTATGAAGTGCAATGTCCATATCATATATGCACTTAGCGCCTGGTTCCCTTTGACACCCCCCATGTCCGTGGCATGCTTCGCGCCACGAACACGAGAGAGGGAACTTTGAATTAGACTCATTCTGCTACTTGAATTACGCCTATGTACATAAAAAACCTGCCATTCGGATCCCCCTTTCCCACATACCCGTCGGGTATAACGGTTCCGGGTTCACCTACTCTTTGGCTGTCGATGCATCGGCGTTTTATCAAGCTGTACAACGCGAATTATTGCTAGCTAACACCTACTTTTCTACGTTGGCTAAGTTCACCACTCACCCGTCGGGAGAAATGGATCGCCTCGCTACCAAAGATTGACAGTGCTAACTAACTAATTCACGTGCACGATGCAGAATCTCGTGCAGATTGGGAAAATCAAAAGTTCTGAACCTAAGCGAATTAGTCTAATGCCTCGCTCAGAGTCCACTCAGTTGGTCTTTTCCTGATCATCTGTTCACAAAGACGATACACATCTTATAGACCAGTGATCATGAAGCAGTTGGTTTACTCCTCACGGCGGACTTTCTTCCATTGGGGTGCTGATGGAGGTTTCTCCCATTGTGCCGCACGTTTTGGAGCAGCTTTCGGCGATGAAGGCTTTGCAGGCGGCGCCTTCGATGGTTCATGGGACTTTGGCATAGCCTTGGCTTTTGGTGCGCTAGCCGATGAGGATGATGCCGAACCAGTGCCTTCAGGTTTCTGCGAAGGTTGCGCGGGTGGTTTGGTAAACTTGGAAGCTGCAGTGTGCCCAACCGCCTTGAACACTTCGCTCACCACTTCGTCACCAAGAGTTGGAGCCATCTTCATTTTCATTTCGGTCTTTCCCCTTTGCGCTTCAGCCTCAGCCAGCTGAATAGCATATGCCATCTTGCTGACAAAATTTTGTGGTAAGGCAATTCCACACTGTTGGGCTGCAAAGAGCAACTCTACTCTCTGTTCTTTCTCCCTTAGGCTCAGATAGACTGAGAATGCCGGAAGTTCGACGCAGTCGGGGAAGCCGTGGCTCCCGGAACGAAAGAAGGTGTACGACTCGTGCTCTGGGAACGTCCCTTTGAGAAGTCGCCGAAGGAAATTGCTGATTGTCACTCGCATCTCCTGCTTCCCTTGGGCATCAGCCTGCATTCGGTTCATTGGCATGAGGAAGCCTAGTGATTCTGGAGTGTATCCGGCGCATACCAGAAATTCCATCATCTTTTCATAGATCTCCAAAGTCTTGATGACAGGCATCATCATGTTTCTGGGTCGCCCTGAATACAACTTCTCTCCTTCTGACCATGAATTCCTCTTCGCTTTCTCCTGAAAGAGTTCGTCCAACTCCAGCTCCGTCGGTCGCTTGAGGTTGCCATCCTGGTCTTCTCCTGTATAAGGACAGAAGTCGTCCAGGTCCAGCCGGACTCGCTTGGTCTCTGTCATCATCTCATGGTATTCCTCTGGGGTCATGGTGACTCTTTGTTTGTAATAAAACCGGAACATGGTGATGATCTTTGACATGACTGCATTGTCATATAAGTGAGCCGCGGCCTCGGAGACATCATTGTTGATGAGTCCATCTTCTGGCATACCCTTGCTGCCGCTCTCGAGGTTCTTGGTCCACGCTGGAAGTTTGTTAGAGGGTTCATCTTCGGGTTCAATGTCCATTTCGTCGTCGTCATCTTCAACGATTTCATCGTCCTCTTGTTGGGCTTCCTCCTCCTGATCCATTTCCTCATCATCGCCTTCGTTATAATCGACCTCATCGGGATTGAAGCCATAGTCGTTGGATTCGGACACATTCTCTTGTGCTTGATTGACCGTATCCTTGAACAGTGACTCTTCTTGTCGACGAACTTCTTCATCGAGCTCTTTCTTCGAGGCCTCATCCTCATCATCTTCAGGAGCTTGTAGCCGATATGGACGGATTCCACAACTTTCAAGTTCCGTCCAGCAAACTAGACAAACTGCTAGCTTTGTCGGCGTCTCATTGAGACAGTGAGGACAATGGCGGCAACCTGATGTTTGCACCCTTTTGCGTTCGACTATATAGTCAATCAGCTTGATGCGGGCCATGTATTGTTCTTGTCCACCAGGTTCGATGAGGTTGTTCTCAAATTTGTTGACGATGTTCATGGCATCCATGGCGGTTTCGTCAAACGGTTGGTCTTCGGCGTCGATGCACTGCCTTGCAACCCTCAAGATGGACTCCTTGGTGGCTACCGTTCTTGATTTGACCGTTCCAGACCGAACTACCTGGTCGTCGCCCGACGGGACGAACAACCGGAGCCACGTCTTATTGTTTTGGTCTCTGGGGTCCTGAACCCATCCTCCTTTGATTGCCGAGAACGGGATGATCTTTGGTGAAACGATCTGTCCCGAATCAGTCAGTCGACCGCCATATTCCACCATCAAGGTCTCGGTCGGGACGAACAAGCAAATGTAGTCCCCCCTTCGCGTATCAACGCTCTTCGTGATGGTCCAAGACCTGTGATCCCAAGGTACATACGGGTTGAAGAACGTGAACATCCGATGACCTTCTCCAAGACCTCCTGGAATTAATCCCTGCCTCCAAATACTTCGAAGGTTGGTCTTCTTGGTGATGTGGAAACAAACCGGTAACGATAAAATGGTGTTGGGCGCGATTGGATGTGAAAGTAATGAGGACAGCAATGAGACGTCGTCCCTTGATGATCCTTTTTTGTGCCCCGTAGGAGCACGGACCGCTACAGGGTATAGCAGTAGACCTTCATCAGGGATGTTCGTGTCCGCATCAACTTTGTTGTCAATGCACGTCAGGCTTGTGCGCTCAATGTCCTTGTTGATGCCAAATGCCAAGACTTGTTCACGAACACGACGTCCATACCGGGCACAGTGGAACATGATCTTGAAGAGCAATGTCATGCGGAAGTTTGCCTCTTTGAGGTTCCACGCACTCTGATCATTTGCTCTCCCTTTTGGAGCAAGAAACACATGTGGCCAGCGTGCGTAGTCGTGCCTCCAGATGGACTCACATTTGAGCACGTCCTCGATGGGCACCCAGCCGGCGTCATCACATGGCAGACTTTGTTGCTCTGATGCTTTCCCCACGTTGTGCCGCAGGATCCTGTTTAGTGATGCACTCACTTTGTCCTCGTAAGTGTTGAGTCGGTTGCCAGTGTCAAAGCGGTAGTTTGCTGCATATTCGACGCCGCCGAAATAGGAGCAATTGAAGAAATGCGCCCCCGTCGTTGGGATGATTTTCAAGAAACCATCTTGCGGCGCCTCAACTCTCTTGTAGAAGGGCTTCCTGATGTTGTTATCAGAATAGCTTGCCATGAATTCTGGCACAGACCACGAGTCGCCTCCTCCTCTGACAATAGCGTCTCGGATCACTTCGTTGAGGTCAACAATGTTCTGTGGTCCTAGCTTTGTGATATCACGTCCTTCTATGCAGAATCTACCATACTCATCGAGGTCACCAACT